TCAATTAATCCGAAGTATACTTTAATATTACTCAATGTATTGCGATAGATACCTAATGAGTTGGCAATCTCAGGCTAGCCATCTTGCTGACTTTAATCCCGGAAAATTGGATTATATGTGCAATTCCAAAGGTGACTGAGACAGATGAGACAGCCCAAAAGGGGTAGTCTGGAGAAAGGGTCGGTCTTCCGAGAATCCAACGGACAAAGCAACAGAGGTGAAGCAGGAGTAACCATCTTGCGGCAGCGCTGGAATCTCCAGGATGGTTGCGGACACAATTCGATCCGAATGCTCATCAAGAAGATCCGATTGCATTCAGAGCCAAGACTTAATGATCAAGTCAAAATTATAGGTAAGAATATCTGTAAGCAGATATTCATACAATCATAATGTAGAAGACAGGAACGTCAATTTAAAAGGTCAAAATTCAAAGAATATCATCAAAACCTCCTACAACACATATTTTCATTGCTGATATAGGCAAAATCTTATACATGTCTAGATGAATTGAGTGCTTTAATCATTCAATAAGAGAACAGAAGTTGACATTAACTCAACAGAATAAAAAATGAAGCATATCTACCGGCAAATTTAAATAAATTATTGAAGATATGAAGACCAAGATGTTGTGGCTTCTGGTATGGTCTCAGTCTCCTTTCGATTTATAGAAATAAATCGATAAATAAATTATTGTTCCGTAATTCCAGTTATTTAAGAATTCTTACTAAGAAACCAGTGGATACGGCCTTTATAAAAGCCTGGGCATCGTGTCAACTTGTAATTAACAAAAATAACTGCATAAAAACGTTCACTGTAGCCCGAAACGAATATAAATATTCGTAATTTTGGGGCAACCCTCTACTTTTACCTGGGAAACTCACTCATGCAAGAAATATTTTTAAGTCCCCCGGCAAGAAATAGCAGCAGATTGCCAATACCACTAAAATCTGGATATATTTCGTTGTATTCAAACCTCTTTTAGGCTTCAAGTCTCTACTGATTATGGAGCATCAGCTTCCAGGATTTTTTACTTTTTAGACGAATCCATTCCTATGCCCAAGACAACCCGGCACTTAACTGGTAGGAATATGTTCTATTAAGAAGTGAAACTGGATTTCGAAAAATCCATTTAATTAGCTACATAAATTCGCCCCACAGGAAGCCGTAGGAGGATTGTTGTTAAGCTTTGGATGTAGAATTGGGCCATCAGGTCCTCGACGTACCAAGCCGCAACCCCGAAGCATCCGTGATGAGATCTCGTCTGCTCAACGAGAACAGACAAAGTCAGAGTGTGAAGCAATGTTTTGCGAAACTCACAGGTGGTAGCGCTTATGTGGCTAGGATCTGCCGACTTGTATATAATAGCTTTACTTTACAGCCTTCAAAGGTTTGTAGGTCCAAGAAGGAGAACTGGTCAAAAATATGGCTCACACTGAACAGCAGATAAGCTGGCTACCCAAGTTCGAGTTCCGCTGTGGGTGCTGTCAAGACCTAGGCGAGGTCGAAATTGCAGCCCACTTCTGCCTGGATGAGAATACCTTCAGGGCTGCAAGGCGATGTGAAGTTCAATGAAGCATAAGTTCTACTCTTATGATTGTGGGAAAATTCAACTACCAGTACTTTATTACGTTAATCGAACTATAGTGAATATAAGTATAGTTTCGAGACTACCAGTAAACCAATAATATTAGATGTACTCACCCTATTTCGTTTATGGTGGTGAAGGACTGGTAGTAGAATTTTCCCACAATGATAGGAGTAGGGCTGAGGTTACCATTGAATTTCACATAGCCTTGCTTTCCCAAAAGTTGTTCTCATCAATCATCATTTAACCTAATACAAGTAAATAGTTCCACAACATTTGTGGGTTAGCACACAAGAGACTAAAGCATAACAAGTCATAGACTTGGTATTAGTCCTTCATCACCTTAAAAGAAATAGGATTAATACCTCTCATATTACTGATTTACTAGGATTCTCGAAACTCTACTCAAATAGGCAAATAAGCAACGTAGTCGATTGTTTTAGCAAATATACGTTTGCTTTATTGAAAATCCCACCAAAGAATATGATATGGGAAAAGGCTTGGCCTTCCTTGAAATTCACATTTGCCCTGTGACCCAAGGGCACTCGTGGCAATGTGGCGTAGTTGTTAATGTGTCGGGGCTACATGCTGCATTGCCATGATTCGAGTCCCGCTGAAGGTGTTGATAAAACTTAGGCGAGGTCGAAACTGCCGTCCACTGGTGCCTGGATGAGAACGACTTTTGGGAAAGCAAGGAAATGTTAAATTCAATGGAAACGTCAGCTCTACTCATATCATTGTGGGAAAATACTACTACCAGTCCTTCATCACCTTACACGAAAAAGGGTGAATACATCTGATATTAGGGATAGAGACAGGAAAGATGCTGTGAAGACTGGATCTAGTTGGCTGACAGTAGGTTTTACAAGAGACAGGTTGCATATAGCAAAGGCTTGACGATGAAACTTATCCAGAGGCTTTAGTTTCGTATTAGGGACCAGACGCAATGGAAGGTGAATAACGCCTCAAGTTGGCACAGCTGGGGTGGCAGGGATCGAGTGAAATACGTAAACCAGAGAGAGGGCAGACGAATCTTACTGGGCAAGAGAGAGACTGTGATAATACCTAGGGAAGGAGGACTGCACAACAATAAGGCAGACTCTGATCAACCACACTACCTCGAAATAAGAACGGTTAAAAGTGATAGCAGTTAA